AGAGAAAAAAACCTTGTTCAACATGGATTTACTGATTATCAAAGACGATGGCATACAAAGGTGGAAATCAAAGTGTATTTTCTTTACAAAACTTAGACTCAAGTCGTATTTCTATTTGAAATTTTCAATTTTTTTCATCCATAGAGTGGCTTTGTAGATCACCTGTAAATTGTAACGCTTGAATTTTACAATAAAAAGCAAGATTTCTTTAAAAATAAGTCTGTTTGTATTTTTTTTAATCACGGACAGGACAACACAAGTAAAAAATGTCGGTATCAATATATCTATGGTTACTAGAACAATGAAACAAAATTCTAAAAAAATAATGAAAGACTGTTTCAAACCGAGGCTGAAAACAAGCACCTGCTGGATATCAGTTAGGTTGTCATGTAAGTCAAAATTAAGATTACTACAATATATAATGTTAACCTTTTTGTCACATTCAGTTTTGAAAATTGTAATAGGAATACTTGAATCCGTCTTTATTCAAACCACGTACAAAACTTGTGAAAGAAGAGTTTAAAATTGTGTTCGAACAAGGATTGTCATCTGGGAGTTAGGAATGGGGAATCAAGACATCTTGTAAATATTGTGGTGATATTCCGTGCATTTGTTAATGTCACGATATATTTTTTGTTCTTCTTGCAGCTAGAGTTTCCCAACCATGATATTTGTAGTGAGTGTAGCGCGTCGGGCAAGCCTTTTAGACATACCACGTGCGATTTATTTTAATCACACATATTATCAGTCATAAAATTGTGACACGAAAGTTTTTGTGCCAACGGCGGAAAACAAGATGGCGGACATAGCAACAAATAATCTCAGCCACCAAGACTTTATCACGTGTGCAGAAATTAAGCGTTTGGCTGTCCGGAAAAAGACAATCATGAACTAGCTAGGCCCAGTAAATACAATATTCAAGGAAGGAAGAGCTCTTTAAACTTTAGATTGAATAGATGTTGTCGGGAAATATTTTGTTACGTTTATTTACCGCATTGAAATACATCAAGAGCGAAGGCCTGAAATAATGTTAGCTGCTCCTCATTGTACCTATTCAAGTAGATCTTTTAGATTGTTGTGTGCACGTTACATACATTATGTCCATATTATTTAAAAGAATGAATAAATTAAATATAAATAATAATTCATGATTTTCAATTAACGTTAGTTTTAATGTTAAGAAGAATTTTGAGACTGTTGTTTACTTTTTCATGTATGTTTTAAGTATGATGTGTCTATGATACACCGTCTTAGAAAGTAAGTCCTCTGTGTTAATATGACGTCTTATCTGTTTTTGTTTTTTTTTTATCATTTTATCTTATTTCTGAAAAGTATAGAGAGGGTGATTTTTGTTACGGTTCCTAGAAAATTTATTTACTTTCATTAGGATTAAATGTTATGATCCGTTCTTAGTAATTGTGCTGTCTGTGGTGGGTTTCATGTAAGTTACATATAATTAAGTACTGTGTGCAGAAGTGGTTCGATAACAGATACCCCTGGGTAACCCTGAATTTAGAGTGACAATCCTATTTTCTAACTCTTTGCATTCTCTCCAAAGATAATTTGAAAACGAACCAGCGTATTTCCATCAATACCATACTTCTTGAGTTTTGTGAAAGACTATGGTGCCAGAACCTTAACCGCTTTCCGCGATCTCTATTGCTGAATACTGAATTATATATATATAACCAATAAACCACTGGCTGTAGAAACGTCTGGGATAAAATTACACCGATATTGAGTTATAACAGAACTTCCAATCAAGTGATTGGGAATACGATTTTTCTCGTTATTTTACTCAAACAAGAAGTCGAGATGGTCTAAAATACAAATAATGATAATAATATCTTTTATTTATCCAGGGTTGCATATTTAGACAAGTCTAGTTTACAATACGGCCCTGCCGTAAAATATATACACATATCACAGAAAGATGTCATAAAATACATAAACAATGAATATTAATTAATTATTAGATACAATGTAGAACAAACATTATTACCATACATAGTTGGCTAAGATATATTAAAATGTCATCGAAATATTGTAACTGTAAGATACATCAAAACAGGCGTAAAATATATTCACAGATATCAATGATTGTTGCAAAGCTAAAATCTAAAATTTTGAGAAGAGCTCCTGTAGATATTTACGTTTGAAAACAACCACACTACAAGAATTTCTAATATTTTCACTGATACCTTTTAGTAAGACTGAGCAAGTATATACAAATGAGCTTTTAACAAAAACACCACTAGTTTAACTAACATCTTTGTAAAGTGCATTTATGTACGTTTGTTTCCAACTACCGAACATCAAACTCCCCTAATTGTGTATGACAAGGGATTTCTTCCTAATTACGCAGTATGTTGACCACCATGACGATTCCCCGTAATCGTTTCCTTCTTTAACTTTCATCTCTCGAAAACCTTATCAGTCAAAAGTTATCCTCTTTCACAGGAATCGTGAGATTGGAAATCTACCAAATCCTGAATCCGCCATTTTGCTACGAATACATTAATTTTTCAGCAACGAGTACTTTATGGAAACTCCATACGTACATATCAATACAATGTACTGATGATTGGGTTTTTATATTAAAACATTCATAACAGAAAATAAACTCCCCCCCCTGCTCTGTGTTTTTTTGTTGCATTTTTCTAAAAGTTCCATCGAAATTTAGTAAAATACCGAGGTAATTCAATTCGTTTACAATTTCTAAATGACAACCATTATATTTCAGTGTTTCATTATTTCCCATTATATCACCATTTCGAAACACTGGTTGTTTTACTGGTATTAACCGTTAAATCCCCCTTTTTGTATCTGTTTTATAATAATTTTGCATATCCTGAAAGCCTTGTGACATTTTTGAAAATATTGCAATGTTAAAGTCTGAATTTCTATATAAGGACAGTTTTCAATTGAAAATTACATATCACAATTATTAACATATGAAGAAAAGAATAAAGGAGATAAAGTGTCCTTTGAAACAATCCAACTTCTTCATTAAAACAATAAGACAATGAGCCATTATGCTTTACACAGCATTTAACACTATACATAGCGGCCTGACTACTTTAACAATTTTCTGTCGATACCTATTGTGATTGATTTAAACCATAGTTTCTGATGAAAGACGAAAAACGTCTTATTATAATCAATAAAAAACAACATACTAGTTTCATACTTCTGAAAGGGCGGTTAATTAGTGACTGAAATGCAATTATAGATTCAAAAGTAGATTTTTCTTGAAAAGAGATTGACCATCATTTGTTTAATAATATTTTTTATCAAGTACCATCAACCTATTATTAAGAATTGATGTGAAAAGTTTACCCAGAGTAATATCCTTATGGTCTTCTATACCTTTCGTGTCTCCTGTCGTGAACACAGGTACGATATCACCTTTTGACGTCATAATAGTAATGCTATCAGACCGTGATCACACACCTTATTTGTGTTCAATTTGTTCGTTGCACATATGATCTTTGCCTTTGTTATATTTCAACATTAAATTCTTCAAGGAGTAAATTTGAAAAGTTTTCACAACCATCTTTCAAAAAATGATTCACATGATCATTAATGTTTGGTCATATCATTGAAAAAATCAAGTACGTTTAGATAAAAGTTTACACCTTTTCTGATTCCTGAAATGTTTATGGAAATTCTGAAGATTGTATTTTCTCATTCTTTTCTTGTTAATCAGGCTGATACGGTTTTCGTGGCTTTCATTGGAGTGTAAAGAGAATCTTTACTAGATCATCGGTCCTTACCGTAATTATATGTATACATCGATTATAGGTCCTTACCGTAATTATATGTATACATCGATTATAGGTCCTTATCGTAATTACATGTATACATCGATTATAGGTCCTTACCGTAATTATATGTATACATCGATCATCGGTCCTTATCGTAATTATATGTATACATCGATTATAAGTCCTTACCGTAATTATATGTATACATCGATTATAGGCCCTTACCGTAATTACATGTATACATCGATTATAGGTCCTTACCGTAATTATATGTATACATCGATCATCGGTCCTTACCGTAATTATATGTATACACCTTACCGTAATTATATGTATACATCGATCATCGGTCCTTACTGTAATTATATGTATACATCGATCATTGGTCCTTACCGTAATTACGTGTATAGGACTACATCGATCATCGGTCCTTATCGTAATTACGTGTATACATCGATCATTGGTCCTTACCGTAATTACGTGTATACATCGATCATTGGTCCTTACCGTAATTACATGTATACATCGATCATTGGTCCTTACCGTATTTACGTTGGTCCTTACCATAATTACCTCTATACATCGATCGTTGGTCCTTACCGTATTTACATGTATTCATCGATCACTGGCCCTTACCGTATTACGTTGGTCCTTACCGTAATTACGTGTATACATCGATCATTGGTCCTTGCCGTAATTTCTGCTATTCTGTAGGATATGATTTTTATCACTTGCCATGTAATTCGGTATATCAGAAAACTACAATCATGTAGCTGTATAAGAGACGCTGAACGCGTTAATATTACTAATACATGTTCTACTCTCTAAGATGAAAGTTTACCGTAGTAACACGAAACATTAACTTTCAGTATAAAGGGCCATCCAAGATTTTTTTTATCTTTGTTCCCGGTTGATAAACACTTTTACAGAAAAAATACAATGACTTTCTTTTCTTCCTGTTGTTTTATATCAAAACAGTACAGACATTCGAAAGTGATTTTCAATCCTTCATAATATTTATGAAAAAAAAATCGATAATATAAATCAGGGACGTATATGACAGATACATCCCTGTATAAATCAAATGAACATGTATTGCGATCGTTACCCGTGATAAGTTGAGCAAATGGAACAACCCAGCTGATGACTGTTTGCGCATGACCCGGAACTATTGGCTTCAGCGCTGTAAAGAATTAGACCTAGCACTTGTTGAAACGCCGGTGAACAGGGAACATGGCCTCGCCGAGTAAAGTGGATATGCTGTCCCTTTTGAGGGATTCTCTCGACTACGAGGGTTCAACGAAATCTCACGTGTTTGTTGTGATGGGAGCGTCGGTAAGTGTGCCTATTTGCGAGAAATTCTTCATAAATATCGCTTGTGCGTCACTTGTTCTTATCGCACGCACATTTGTTTACATTTTTACTTTCATGAGCGGTGACAAACCAGGATGTCAGATAGTTGAGGAGTTTTTCTCGAGTTTTTAGTGTACATAGAAATACACTCCGAGCAAAATAATCACATTCCATGCAATTTTCAATCGATAAATTTACATGTTAGTTTGCATCTGTTGTATTTAACAAAGCCTATTTGCACGCACGATAAACTTTGCAACAGTGACTGTGACACGGCAATTTCTTACCTCGGTAAAACTGTTCCACGATTCTAACAAAGTAATAATTACCTGTGATGTTGCTATATTGCTTTTGGAAGTACATTTTCTTAATTATAGATCAAACGAACTTTCCTAGTGTTTTTCCTGATAAATAGCTGTACCTGTGTGCGTGTATTTGTATCTCAAGCGCAGGAATGTAAAAATGTATGGGCTTGTTACATTGATTCGTTTGTCATATCCTGGTTGAAATTTGACCCCAAAAGTTCATTGTAGGTAATATGAAATGTATCCTTGTTGATACTCAACACTAGTTTTTTCCTTCAGGCACATGTTAGTTACATGTAGATTTTTCTGAAACACAGATCTATTCTATAATTTATCTGTAATAATTTATACTTGACTATGATAACAACAAACAATATGCTGCTTAATTTGCTGAAGATATTAAAAATAATTTCAGACAAGGATTTTTGTAAAAAAAAACAAAACAAAACAAATACAAAAAAACATCAAATCCATAGAAAAAGCCAAGCAAAAAGATTTGTTCTGTTAATGAAAAATCTGAAAACAGATTTTTAAATGGAATTGGGATAAGCCTTTTGTCAAACTCCTTGCTTCATGGACAGTGGAGCCCTGGCTGGGTCCCTCAAAACTGAAATTGATCCCTTCATTTTACCATTTTCTTTTAATTCTATATTAGTGAACAATTTAAGTGTGAATATTTTTTATGGGTGTAGGTAGTAGAGCCGTTCGTACGAGGGTTTTTGAGTTGTAGGTTCCATTGCTCTTCAGCTGGATACCAGGGAATATGCAGGGTGATTGAGTAGTGGAGAAATTCATGTCAGAAAGAACAATCACAGCAGCGTCAGATTATGTACTTCAGTTTATTTAGTTTCGTCTACCGGTTTCACCCTCTCTAGGCTTCTTCAGGACCGGGATTCATCAGAATCATAGTCCTGAAGAAGCTCAGAGAGGATGAAACTGGTAGATGGTCCTAAATAAGTTAAAGTACCTGTTTTGATGCTGTTGTGATTGATATTTCTGACAATATTTATTTGTAATACATATCCATGTAAGTAATGTTATACTTCTAGTGATGTCATGATACTGTCGTTACACTTGTGGTTTGTTGACAAACACCAGGAAGTTCAGTAGTGGTGTGGTATACATAGGTAGAGAAACTCCTTGCTGCAGACTTTTTAGCATCTTTACATCACAAACAAATGAGCATGTTGCCAGACATGTTTAATGCTGAAAACTTGCAAAGTTGAATTCTTAAGGACCATATCAAAAGCTTCGAGGAATATGAGGTATTCGAGTAATCAGAGGTTGGTTATAGACTATCAAGTTATAGATCTTTTGTGAATGCAAGGTGTCTGTGAATGCCTAGTGTCCATGAATGTCCTGTGTCTGTGAACGCTAAGTGTCTGTGAATGTCCTGTGTCTGTGAATGGCCTGTGTCTGTGAATGTCCTGTATCTGTGAATGTCCAGTGTCTGTAAATGTCCTGTGTCTGTGAATGTCCAGTGTCTGTGAATGTCTAGAGTTTGTGAATGTCCAGTGTCTGTGAATGCTCTGAATGTCCCGTGTCTGTGAATGGCCTGTGTCTGTGAATGTCCTGTGTCTTTGAATGTCCAGTGTCTGTGAATGTCTAGAGTTTGTGAATGTCCAGTGTCTGTGAATGTCTAGAGTTTGTGAATGTCCAGTGTCTGTGAATGTCCAGTGTCTGTGAATGCTCTGAATGTCCCGTGTCTGTGAATGTCCTGTGTCTTTGAATGTCCAGTGTCTGTGAATGTCTAGAGTTTGTGAATGTCCAGTGAATGTCCTGTGTCTGTGAATGTCCTGTGCCTATGAACGCCCAGTGTCTGTGAATGTCTAGAGTCTATGAATGCTCTGATTGTCCTGTGTCTGTGAACGCTCAGTGTCCATGAACATGCAGTGTCCAGGAATGCTCCAGTGTCCATAAATGAGGAATACAATACTGTGTTTTTTGATCTATTCTATTGATTGATGTGCTGAAGTTTTCACATCTATTTCAATGTCTGGAATTTTACTGAAGAGACACACAGCACTGTTTATGTATAGCAAAAATTTAATTAAATGATCACTGCTTTGATATTGTCTTATTCTGACAAGTCAAGTAATAATGCAAATGTTGATCGAGGTTTATATCATATCATTTTGTTATTGTTGTATGTTTTATTAACAGACCCATGTAGAGAATGATCTTGGGAAGTCAAGCTTCCACTAAATATGTGCCGTTCTGTAATTTTGTTATGCATGAAACAAACTTCCGTTTGTACAACTTTTGATTTTTCTATATATTTTATTCTACGATACAAATTTATTTGAAATGTCCTGAAAAACAGTCATATTTTGTAGCAGATGGGTGTAGACATATAATCATACCACTGTTGATCCCATAATTCTCTGCTGTCTTGTCAGACACCTGTACAAATAGAGGGTGAAAATACCACAATTATGAATTCATAGGGATGGAGATGAAAATGAGTTTTAGGGATTAGGGGTTTTAGAAGAATGACAGGTTGAGGAATCTGAGGGTAAATAACAAGATTGGGACCAGTCAATGAGTCAGGCGAATATAGAGGGTATTCAAGGAAGAAATAGGATCTTTACTGTATGTAAAAATGTTCTTGTCTATATATTGGGTTAACTACATATTACTCGGTGGATGTAGGTAAGATATGTATATGCAGTTACCCCAAGGTAAATACACCTTGATGAATGTACATAACATAAATGACTGTCCTTATATTTACAATTGATAGCCACAGACTTTCATTAAACATTTAAGAAATAAATTGCCATATACACGTCATTAAAACAACAGGAAGTTTAATTGAACTACCATATGATACTGAAAGCAGTAGAGGCATGGTCCTACTGTGCTATCATTGATGATGTCATGACAACGAAGTAATTTCAATTTATGACTGCATCTGTGGTACAGCCTACATTTTGACTGTTTTATGTTCTCACTGTAGGAAACAACAGACAGACTATTTCAGTTTATGACTGGGGCCGTAGTATAGCCTACATTTTGACTGTTTTATGTTCTCACTGTAGGAAACAACAGGCAGACTATTTCAGTTTATGACTGGGGCCGTAGTATAGCCTACATTTTGACTGTTTTATGTTCTCACTGTAGGAAACAACAGACAGACTATTTCAGTGTATGACTGGGGCCTTAGTATAGCCTACATTTTGACTGTTTTATGTTCTCACTGTAGGAAACAACAGACAGACTATTTCAGTTTATGACTGGGGCCGTAGTACAGCCTACATTTTGACTGTTTTATGTTCACGCTGTAGGAAACAACAGACAGACTATTTCAGTGTATGACTGGGGCTGTAGTACAGCCTACATTTTGACTGTTTTATGTTCACGCTGTAGGAAACAACAGACAGACTATTTCAGTGTATGACTGGGGCCATAGTACAGCCTACATTTTGACGGTTATATGTTCACGCTGTAGGAAACAACAGATAGACTATTTCAGTTTATGACTGGGGCTGTAGTACAGGCTACAATTTGACTGCTATTTACCACAGTTGAGAAAATGCTGTTGATGTTATGAGCTGTTGCATCCTTAACTGTTATGCTGGTAAATGGCACCAGTTAACACAGGATTAGGTAACTGTAATCTAATTATCGGTGTCACAACTACTGGTACACATGGATAATTAGTCTTTGCATTTGATCCAGTTTTGCGAGAAAATGATCTCACAGTGTCACTATATTGGTGTTCTCCCACTCTATACTTGGTACACTCTTCATTTTGTCGATGTAACCTCGTGTTTGAGATATGTTGTCCTTTTTTCTGAAGAAAGCTTGAAATCACACTATTTTTAGCAAGGTTTTCTCCTTGGTCAAGCTGAACAATCAATAGATCATTATAGCTAAGGAACGAAAACAGACATCTGAAACTAATGCCTATTTGGGTGTAAAAATTCAAAGTTTGTCTATATTTGCTGCCCATCTTTTACTGGTGTCGGTGGCCACAACTTAAAGATAAAAATCTATCATAAATGCAAGGTAGATATTGAGAAACTAGACAAGCATTATGTATGGTAGATATTGAGACACTAGACAAGCATTATGTGTGGTAGATATTGAGACACTAGACAAGCATTATGTGTGGTAGATATTGAGACACTAGACAAGCATTATGTATGGTAGATATTGAGACACTAGACAAGCATTATGTGTGGTAGATATTGAGACACTAGACAAGCATTATGTGTGGTAGATATTGAGACACTAGACAAGCATTATGTGTGGTAGATATTGAGACACTAGACAAGCATTATGTGTGGTAGATATTGAGACACTAGACAAGCATTATGTGTGGTAGATATTGAGAAACTAAACAAGCATTATGTATGCTAATTGGATAGGGACAGAACCAGAGAAGAGTGTAAGCTTATGAATGTCAATTAAGGGCTTTTCATTCCTTTTATTTATTATTTTCAATTTTTACATTTGTTGTTTATGGGTCGAAAGCATAGATAAAAAATAGTGTAACTTTTCCTCAGACTAAGAATTATGTGTGGTAATGATCTCAATTTGTATACACCACTCGTTGTTACTACAGTGGGAGCAGTTCATGGGTGAAGTTAGATTATAGTAATGATACAATTGCTACGATTTTGTGTATAATAACGTACATGTACATCGTACCTAACTTCAGATATAAAAGGCTGGATTTAGCTATCAATTAACTTCAGATAATAAAACTGGTGTAACTGCTATCTCAGACTGTTGTCGTCATCCATGAAGTTCGAATATCTTTCAGACAGCTTAGAGAGTTTCAAACTAGGAAAGTTCTAAAAGGTTAATGATGAGTCCTGAAATTATTTACATAACATACAAATATAGCTTCAATCCAAATTCATTGCTTGCATAGCTTGATTTTTTTGTTTTAAGCATTGAAGTACATACACATTAATCTTCTCAGCAACTGGAAACATCTTAATAAAATGAGATGAAAGGGACAGAAAATAGCTTTAGATACATAAATAGTTTAAACTTCATATAGGTATATGAATATAAACTTTATTTATTTTACAAGAAGTAGGAAACAAGTTATTTCAACTTTTACTAATCACTCTTGTTGACTTGGATGTTAACGTGCGAGGGGTCTTATTGTGGGAGGAAACCAGAGTAGCTGGAGAAAACCCACATGGTCAGGCAGGTGACCTCTTACCTTTTCATGTCCGTTCCAGGATTCGAACCCTGGACGGGTAAGTGAAAAGCGAGTGCCTTACCACTGCGCCACCCAACCACTTAAACTTCAAATACATCAAGTTAAACATTTTTCTCACCAGTACTAGTTTGTAACTTTGATGATAGATTGAATTTTGGTTACCAGGGATTTTCGGGACACAGAGTATGAGCTCTTGACCTTGCTATTTCTGTTGAAACTCACTTGACTTTGTAGATCATGTTACATCTCTTTGTATTTGGATTCATTAAAATTTTGGAACTGTTCTGGATTCACCCTGAAAAAAAAATTCTACCAAAAATACTGAGTTATATTTGGTGGTGCTTAAGTATATTCAAAGTTATGATATTACAATAATTAGAGATAGCTCATATTTGAAGGTGTTGTATCTGCAGGTTTGGGGGAAAAAAGCCCAGTAAATAATTGTATTATGAAATGGAAAGCATGGTTTACCGTCTGTAAAACCATATACTATTACTCTAACCTGTCAGGTGTGTCATTACAGATCTGTAACACTTGTCTCGGGGAATGTGATCTGATCTCATTTAATATTGTAATGCTATGTAAGTGGATTACAAAGGCTGTCACTTAACTCAATATGGAAAAGTTCTGTTGCCTGGCTAGTTCTATATTGAACTAGTCTATTTTGAAATCAGACTGTCACCTGGCAAGCTAAGTCTGTATTGAAATCAGACTGTTGCCTGGATAGTCTGTATTGAAATACTGTTGCCTGGCTAGTCTATATTGAAATACTGTTGCCTGGCTAGTCTGTATTGAAATACTGTTGCCTGGCTAGTCTGTATTGAAAGACTGTTGCCTGGCTAGTCTATATTGAAATACTGTTGCCTGGCCAGGTGTGACCATCAAAAAAACTGTTATCCTTTCCCTTACCTGATCTTGCTGCAGACCTCACGACTTTACCCTAAACTGGGTCATACAAGGTGGGAAGTAGCCAGGGATGTGTTACACGTTTTACAACACAAAATACATATACCTGTTACATGTCAATGCTATGCCCTACTAAACTTACATGGCTGTTGTGTCACATTTCTCTACAGCTTATCTCAATCAGCTGCTTAAATGTCACACATACAGCGTAATACTAGCAGTAATTATAAGATAGATTTGGAGATTTTTTTTAACAGTCACACTGATTCAGACTGTTTTATAAGTAATCAAATTCATACATATGTAATTCTGTAAAAGCATTGTTTTGAATAAGCCTCCGTATATGGTTTGAAATTGATTTAATTCTGATTAAGGTGTTGAAAGCGCTGGTGATCAGAAAAAAAGTCAATATTTGTTCAGATTTTAATTTCTGGTGGTTATATCACTGAACCATATACAAAAGGCCCACCATACACTATCTGAAGCAAATAGGGTAAAGTGCCTTGCTTAAGGACAAAATTAAACCACAACACAGAAGGATATGAGTTATAGCATATTGACCTATAGCAACACCCTAGATAGGGATTAAACACTTCCCCTCGCATCTTATACAAACTGAGCTACAAAATGTAGATTACACATACACCACAACCCCAGTCTAATAGAAAATTCCTTGTTGTTGCCTTTGTTGTTAATTACTTTGTTAATTGAAATTTGTTTAATTTTTAGGTAATGTGTTGAATTGATTTGTTGGTTAATGGTTTGGAATCTCTTTTGGGTGTGGGGGAGGGGGGGGGGGGGGGGGGCGTGTCCTGGTGATATTATTTTAAGTTTCACTTGTGAAACTTGGGTTTAGTTATAACGAAGTATAATTTAATATGGGATGTCAACAAATGTAGCATGATTGTAGACTATTAATTTCTTAACCCTGATCTTAAATATTTAACTTGTGTCAAATTTTAATGGAAAGATAATAGGTATATTGTCAACTTTGTGTACATATACGATTACCACCTCCTGGTATGCAGGTATACGTTTACCGGTAAAATAACATATATTTCCTTCCACTTAAGTCTAGCAACATTCCTGAAAGTGCTATCTTTATTCTTAATTACTTAACTATCGGAGTTGAGTTAAACATTGCCACTTAATAAAAATTAGTAGGGAATATTACACACTGGTGATTTTTAAAAAAAAACTATTTGCAGTATTAGAGATACTTTAAAATGTACATTTTAAATGTCTTATATATGACAGGTGAATTTAAAACTATGGTGGCAAAAGAAGGCCAATTTTATGCAAAGGCAAAACAAAAAACAAAACAAAAAAAAGTGGGCAACTGTTTCTTTTTATACAGCTGAAATCAGGGGCTACAACCATATAATTACAGAGTTATGGCCCTTAGCTAACACATGGTGTATTTTTGCTTGTATCCAAACTTAGATAATGAAACTTGATGTACATTTGTTATACTAAGACAATGTGCAGTGTACCAAAGTGAGATCCTGCAATCCCTTAATTACAGAGTTATTGCCCTTTATTCAAACTGACATACCCTGATCCTCTTTTACACATCAATATTTATATATATTGTGCCAATAGTATTGTCATTATTTTGCACATAATATTAAACCAGCTTGGAGTTCTGCAGTACAGAACATGTAAAATACTATTAACTATGAGGCTTTTGTGGCTTAATCTTTTCCAAGTCAAAAAGATGTTTTCACGGGCTTTAAATTACATGTACAAGTAAACAAGGTAATTTAACATGAATCTAACCAAATGTTGGTCAGGTTTAGCTTTGCGTGCAACATAGATGCAGAGAAGACATAGGCGTGACTTTTCTGGCGAAGGCAACGCCAGTTGCAATATATGTGTTATACTCGGACTTTTTCCTTAATTACCAAACCCAGTTTATAGTTATTTACAAACAAGACCATAGCATATGTTTTCAATTGAATGGTTTTGGCCCATTCTTGATGGTTAATTGAACTTAATTTTCAAGCCCATGTTAAAAATACAAGGTGTATTACGTTTAAGCTTGATCCATGTTGAGCTTAATTTCTCTCCAAGTACATGTACAAGTTATACCTTGTTTAGTATCGCAACACACATTTCAGACTCTGAATTTCTCTTGCAATTTGAGTTTTTGAACTTTGTTATTTGAATGCTCTTCGGTAATGTTTTGCTTAAAGTTCGCTGTTGATCTTTTTCGCCAAGTTCACGTGCTGTCATAATTGCCAAACATGGAATGTATACTTATGTCCATATTTGGAATACTGAATTTCACCCAACAGTTTACAAATTACTTTGACCTTTAAAATTTGTACAATGTTAAAAGTATTTTGTTTAGTTCTATTACGGAAATGGTACAAGTGTTAAGCTGACCCAACCAGGGCTCTCACACCCCATTTTGGGACTGGGGCCCGGGGCCCTTAGAATTGGGAAAAATAATGGTGTTTTCCTTAGAATTGGGAGAACTTGGGGTCTAAATTGGGGAAAAAAGATACTATTTTGCATTGGGAATTGGGCCGAATATCGGCCCCAAATCTGGCAGATCGAGAGCCCTGCCAACTTTGCCCAATCATGCATTATTAGCCAGTGATCATGGAACTACAGGCAAATTTGGTGATTTTGCAAAATTTAAACTGGTATGTGTTCTTAGTGTCTTTTGGGAGAAAAAAGATCATTATTTATATAAAATATTTGAGCAGCCAAGGATTTTTTGCTTTATTTATTTCAAACATTAATTTGTTTCATTTTACCTATACCAGGAAATATCATAATTTCAATTTGTATCTAAGGTTTGGAAAATGCTGTTTTGTACCATGTAACATATTGCGTTAGACTGCATGTTTTGCATGCTAGAATCTGATTACCTAGTTCTTGCACTAAATCTCTATCGGAGACAGGTTCCGAATAACTGTACATAGTCAGAAATTCCAGCAAAGTATTAGTTAGTTCAGAAGAGAAAAGAATGATAGATATGGTAAATGATCATTAAATTTGAATGCCTTTATTTGTTTAAATTCCAGCAAAGTATTAGTTACTTCAGAGGAGAAATGAATGATAGATATGGTAAATGATCATTAAATTTGAATGCCTTTATTTGTTTAAATTATACATTTCCAAATTTTTCACAAATTTAAATCCTGTATAATGATATATGGGCTTTATTTCTACAGTAGTGAAAATGGACCTGTGTATCACAATTAAAGGTTTTTTATTTTCTGTTTTAGGGGGACCTGGCAAAAAAGAAGATCTACCCAACTTTATGGTAAGTGTTCAGTTTGTTATCATTAAGTACAAAAACTACAGGAGTTTGGTCAATGATTTGAGGTTTTTTAATGTAAAACCAATTTTCATGAGGTAATACTTACCATAACTTTAGTATGCAAATATGGTACCTACACCCATCTTTGTATCCCAAAAACAAAAGATTCAAAAATCCCGCCCTCCCTACGACCATGAGCCTTCACGTCATGAACATAGAGTTATTTCCCTTCCTCTTAGCCTTTATGTAGCACCCGTAGAGGGGCAGTCAGGCAGATAGGAAGAGGGGAGGATAGGGTGGGACTCCATAAAGTTATGGTAAGTATTACCTCATGAAAATTGGTTTTACATTAAAAAACCTCAATTTCATTTCAGTAATAATTACCATAACTTTAGTATGCGAATTCGTCTTACCGTAGTGGTGACTAGCAGCCAGGCAGCCCATCTAGCACACTAAACTTGGTAGGGAGGGGGGACAGAGTGCATAGAATAAGAAGGGGCAACCTCCCCGTGACCGAGCAGGTAAACCACGTGCCGCCGAACGGAAAAGACGAGCCCCGGGGCTAACGGGGGGGGGCACAGCCACAGACTGTGCAACCACCAGAGGTCCCAAAGAATACAAACCTTCTGAGTGGGAAGCCAGGGATCTCAGATAAAAATCTGTAAATGTATCCCTGCCCCGCCAGAAGGCAGCAGACATGACCTCCTGAAAGGAGGACCTATTAAGAAGGGCCCAGGATGCAGCGAGGGCCCTTACCTCATGAGCCCGCACTCTCACCCTCGCCCGAGCCTGGTCATCAGAATGCTCATAAGCATACTTAATGACCTGGCATACCCACCTAGACACCGACTGGGAGGAGATGTCTCGCTGTCCCTGTTTGATAGGCAAAAACAGACGGGATCTGGAGCCCCGCCCCCCCCTGGTTTTATCGAGATAAAACCTAAGAGCCCTACAGGGACAAAGCAATCTATCCCTCTCCTCCGAGCTAGTCAAAGCCGGAATCTTGATGGGATCGGGCGAGAACCCCGGGACTTGATTCTTCGCAAGGAAGGAAGGATCAGTTAAAAGAGTAACGGCAGCGTAGCCTCTGGACCAACGAAGGCAGGAAGGAAGTGACGACAGGGCGTGCACTTCACTCCTCCTACGTCCAGAGGCCAGAGCCAAAAGGAAGACTGTCTTAAAAGTTAGAAACTTCAAAGAGGCAGACTCCATAGGCTCGTAAGGTGACCTCGTCAGGGAATCTAGCACCAATGCTAAATTCCACTGCGGGGCCAGCTGCCGAACTCTGGGTCTATCCAAAGCGAAGCCTCTGATTAGGGCAGAAAGAGATGAGGAAGAACCTATCTCCTTCCTGCCGTAAAAAGCCAAGACACTGGCAATTGCTGTCCTATAGCCAGCAATAGTGCCAGGTGCCAGATTGCGGTCCCTAAACAGAGAGAGTAGGAAATCCGCAATCAGCTGAACAGAGGCTTCGAATGGATCAACCTCCCTGCCGACACACCAATCACAGAAGATCTTCCATCTGGACTGGTAGACGGCAGAAGAGGAAGCCCTGATAGATCGCGCGATGCGATCTGACACCTCTCGAGAAAAGCCTGCCTTGGCGAGGCTTCCAGAGATAGCCTCCACGCGTGAAGGTGGAGGATCTCTGGTCGAGAGTGTGTCGTCCTGGACCGAGGCTGACGCAGGAGATTCGGTCTGGTGGGGAGAGCCAGTGGCTCCTCCACCAGAAACGACAAGAGCTCCGGAAACCAAGGCTGCCTCGGCCACAGGGGGGCTATCAGAAGTAAGGAGCAGTGATGCTCCCTGAACTTCTGAAGCACCCTGCCCACCAGGTTGAAGGGAGGGAATGCATAAGCATGCATCCCGTCCCAGTCCAGAGAAAGGGCGTCCACAGCCCAAGCCTTCGGATCTGGGACCGGAGAGACGAAGGTTGGCAGCTGATTGTTCAGAGAAGTGGCAAACAGATCTATCAAAGGTCTGTCCCACACCTGACAAATTCCCCGGAAGACCGAGGGACACAGCTGCCATTCCATCAACACCGGTTGGCGGCGCCTGGAGAGGGTATCCGCCAACACATTCAGCCTGCCCGGAAGATGCTTGACCGTAATGGACAATTGCATCTCCTGACAGAGAAGAAGGATGCGGATGGAGAGGGCACACAGGACATGAGACCTGGTGCCCCCTTGTCTCTCCAGATACGCGACAACTGTAGAGTTGTCGGTAGCCACACAAATCGCCTTGGACTGCAGGAATCCCCGAAAGGATTGCAGTGCCAAAAGAACTGCCCTCATCTCGAGCACGTTGATGTGCTCCGAGAGCTGATCCCCAGACCACTCCCCCGAGCGACAATGGCCGTCGAGGTAAGCTCCCCATCCTGTCATGGAAGCATCCGTGAACAGGGTCATAGAGGGGACAGGCTTGGTCAGAGGAACCCCGCGGAGAACATTCTCCCGAATGGTCCACCAGCGAGCGAACTCCCTGACCGACTGAGTGAGAGTTATCCAGGCCTCCCACTTCCTGGATGACGGAACCCAGTTGGACAGGAGGAACATCTGGAGAGGTCTGATGTGAAGTCTCCCTAGGGGGACCACATCTGCCAGGGCGTTGAGATACCCCAGAAAACTGAGGAACCAACGTACCTGGACCTGCGACCGTTCGATGAAGGACAGAGCTAGAGCCCTGGCCTTCTCGAACTTCTCCACCGGTGGTAGGGCTATGCCCAGAACCGTATCGAAACGATTCCCCAGGAAGACAAAGTCCTGAGATGGGGAAACCTCTGACTTCTCTCTGGAAGGAATGAAGCCGACTCTGAGTAAGACTTTCAGGACCAGCCTGGTATCCTTCACTAACGATTCCCTCACCCTGTGAAGCATGAGGGAGTCGTCGAAATAGATGTGGACGTCTATTCCGCGAGAGTGAAGGAATCCCACGACTACCTGCAGCAGCTTGGTGAACACCAAGGGAGCTGTCGTCAGCCCGAAGGGCATGGCCCGGAATTGGAAGACCTTGCCGTTGCACGTGAAACGGAGGAACTTCCGTGCCGACTTCTTGATGGGGATATGGAAATAGGCGTCCTTCAGATCTACTGAAGTTGCCCACATCCCTTCCCTCACGGAGGCCATGATGCCCCGTGGGGTCTCCATCTTGAAGTGAGGAGAATCTACGTGCCTGTTGAAGGCACTGAGATCTATGATCGGGCGCCACTCTCCGGACTTCTTCCGCCCTGGGAGGAACAGGGGCTGCCAGAGGAGACCTCTCCGGAGAGGGGGACTCCTCTATACGGCGTTTAGACGTAGAACGTCTAACAGCCGAAGCTGTAGGCTTAGAAGCCAACCCCTGAGGACAGGAGACCGACGAGTCCGCGCGGGAGGCGGAAGTCCTAAAGGTCCGGCGAACCTTTTTAGGACCGGCCAAAACGGCCCCCGAAGTAGCAGAGCGTTGGGGGGATTCAGCACTGCTAAAACGTCTCCTAGAGGGAGAGACCATACCCCAAGGGTTCCATGAAGGAAGACCCATGGGGTTGAACCCAAACCCCTGAGGGAATGGGAACAGTCCCGCGGGCTGGGAGTGACCCCAGAACTGACCAAATTGGCCTGCCTGAGCCTGGGGCTGGACACCCTGTCCAAAGGACCAGGATGAACCTCCACTCCCACCAGGTGGAAACCCAGCCATGTACGGGCCGAGCCCGTAACAGCTGGGTAACTGTTGGTACCCATGACCATCCGCAGGTTGGCCTGGGCGGCCCGGGATTGAGTGCCTGCAGGCACCCCTACACCCCGAGCCCGGGGGAAAAGGCGACCGGAAACCGGAAGCCTGACCTGGGGCCCCAAATCCCTGGGGGAAACCCCCTGGGAAACCTTGCACCGGAAAATCTGGACTAGAGCGAAAAGCCCCAGATCCAGAGACCTGTGAGGGTAGGAACCCAGGCCCCACACTGACACTAGGATTAGTGAACTCAGTGTCACTAATCCCCGTAGCCACTGACAACCCTGACAAAAAATCAGTGACCCCTGACCCCATACCCGAGGGTACCGGTCCGGCGTCAGGGCGGCCCCCACCAACGACGCCACCTGGCGTGCCGAGGTCCCTGAAAGACTCAGAGACCTGTGACCGGAAGTCCCTTTCCGACGGTAGCACCGCCGGCTGTCGAGAGCTACCGGCCGATTCGACCCTAGACTTCGCCGAGTCAGGGTCGGGTTGCCCCCCCTATACCAGGACGCGCCTGGACAGGGGGAGCCACCCTCTGCTCGAGGGCGGAGCTCAGTGTGAGAACACCCCCAGCAGTGACAACCTCACCCCTCGGCTCAGGGCCGGGGGTAGAAAACCTGGATGGCTTACCTCTCTTACCGGAAGATGAGGACGAATCCCTCTTCCGGCGAGAAGTTCGCCGACTGGGTAGGGGAACCTTTACAGCGGACCCGGCGTGCAAACAAAGTTCGCACGGCGAGGCCTCGCTGCAAGGCCGGCATAAGGGACAGGCATCATGGGGGTCCTGCTCTCCGTAGAAGTGAGAACACCCATGTGCTGAACCACGACGCATCCCTGAATCCATAATTGTTACGAAATAAATAATCAAATAACGACAGTTATTAATACAAATTAAACGTAACAAAAATAAATGGAGTGAAAAAACACAACTCCAACAAACAAATACGAACGAAAGCAAAAGCTAACGAAACGTAAAAAAGCAAAGCAAAATATACGGTCGAATAAATAATACGACCGATAAAAAGCGAAAAAACTTCACGAAAAAACCGAACAGCGCAAAACACGTAGATACGCGCTCGGTGCGTGGAGTATAGCAAAAATGGCCGAACAAAGGCCGAACAAAGGCCGGCCGATTAAGGCCTAAAAGCAGGATATATTAACTAAATAAACGTCTGCAAAAGACTGTTATAGTTAAGGATGGGTTTAAAGCAATAAACCGATATATAAATAATCGGCTATAAGGTAGACTTAAGCTAAAAGGAAAAGGAAGGCACTCAGCTGAATATAGCACG